GTGCCTCATTGACAGATATGGAAAATGATGCATATAGAAACAGGCTGCAGCTTAACTCACTCTGGCTGATGACCAGCAAAACCAAAACAGCAACAATCACAGTCTTCATGTCTTCAGGATGCCTCGCCTCACTGCACCAATCTCTGCATGAAAAAAGGGAATAAATGTGAGAAGATCAAACTCTTTAAGCTCCACCATAATCCACATATTGAAGGACAAACACATCCCACCTGATGAACGATTCTTCTGGAGAGTGATTCCTCAAATGTGTGACAGCTGGGTTTCCATCCTCCTTTTTTATTTGGTCTTGTTGTGCAAGCGTGCAGAGTGAAATATCAAGATCAGACTGTGATGCTGCAAAAACACACCGTGACACCACTTGACTCATCAAGAGAATGTGCAAATATATTTGCACACCAATTGTTCTGTTTGTATAAGCAACATATGCAGCGCAAAGTAACAACATGATGTGAGGACACGTATAAAGCGCAATCAGCCAATTTGGACCAACACTACAAATAAATAAATAAATAGGTGAGCAAATTGTAACAGGGTATAAAGAACATGATAAAACCTCGTCAAATACAGAGAATTGTTTAGTTTGAGGATTTGTTATTGATCTTGGAAATCCCAGAGTGGAATCATAAGGGACATTTTCAGATCAGTGTGTCCCTGAAGATTTCCAGTAAGAAATCAAGAAGAGAAGCTGTTTTACAACATAAACAAACAGATGGAAAATGTCTGAAAAACAAATCTTTTGAATACTAATAAAAAAAACCCCTGAAAAATAACAAAAAAGGGTTTTAAAAATAATCATAAAGTGTTAATGTAGAACTGAGAAGAGATTTAAAAAAAAAAACATAACCTTTTAAAACACGAACATCAAAGTTGAAAACTGCCAAATAAGCCCATGGAGTCTTTGTAACAAGACAATCAGCATAAACCCAAAAGGTCTTAGCATACATACAGAGCTGTGCAAAAGTCTCAAGTCACTTCTCTTTGTTTATGTTTTGTCAGGAAAATGTGAAATAAATGCAGACATATATGGAAATCCAGTATCCATTTACAAAGAGTTTAATTTGACATCAAGTTCCACTGAGATTCGAACTCAGATCACTGGATTCAAAGTCCAGAGTGCTAACCATTACACCATGGAACCACTTCTCAAAGACTGGTGTCACTAAAAAAAACAGAGCGTTTATTTACTGAGTGTTGGCATAATATAAAATGAAAAATAGAAGCAGTGTCACGTCACCCCTCATTACTGTTTTCTTGGAAAATTGGAATTTGGTACAGCGATTTATTGAAACATCTGAAAAGATAAATTAAAATGCAGAATTTAAGGAAAAAACAGAGTTTGTACAATTCTAACGAGCTTGAAAATCAATATTTGGTATGATCACCTTTATTCTTTAACACATTCTGAACTCTTTTAGGCAAGCGTTCTTGTAATTTCTTTAAATAGTCTAGCTCTCCAGGCTTCTTGAAGGACATTCAAAGCTCTTCTTTGGATGTTGGTTGCCTTTTGTTCTTTTCTCTGTTAAAATGATCCAAAACTGCTTCAAAAATATTGAGGTGCAGACTCTGGGGAGCTCAATCAATGACTGACAGTGTTACACTTCCCAACACCACTGGCTGAATTGCAGCCACAAACCATGACAGAGTCTCGACTGAGTTTCAAAGGTTTAAAGATTGCTGTAGACACTCTCACTACAACACATCTCCCCTGACCTCCTCTGGGCATAGTGATGATGATTTGAACAAAAAAATTTGTAATTTGGATTCATCTGGATTTGTTGATTTACAGTCCAGTTCTTATGTAACGTGGCACACCTCAACCTGTTCTTCCTGTTTGCCTTGGTTAAGAAAGGCTTTTTGACAGCCAACCATCCACTGGGACCATTTCTGACAAGGTCTCAGCAAACAGTAGATGGATCAACTGAAGGGCCTGGTGTATGTGTCAGGTCTGCTGGATTTTTTCTTACTTCTTAATGTCCTTCAGATACTGTTCACCTGCTGTAGATATTTTTTAGGCCTGGAACTTGTTCGGTCTTCTCTATTTGTCCAATTTCCCTCTATTTTAAGGACACACTGGACACCGTGCTGAGATATGTCACGTTTTCAGCTAATAGCTCTTTGGGATTTGCTTTGTTGATGGGAAAATTCTAGTTAGTTTGCATTAACTTTGACATTTTTCATAGATTCTACTAAAGAAATGGGAACAAATGCTATGTTTGTGTGACAGGCTGCTGGTAACAACATGCATAAAGATACAATTTAAAATGGATTTTTTGGTAAGTTGTCTGTTAGGTATACTGCCTTTTTATGATTCATAGCGTTAAGTACAAGCTTACATCTGGTCTTGTCTGTTCTTTGCAATTTCTATCCCACTTAACTCATAATGTAATTTCTGTCAAGTAATGAAACCAAATGAAATCCTCTAGTGTTGGCTAATTAAATACAAACATATAACCTGTGTCCTTACTTTTACCATACCTCTTACACATAAGACTAATTCAGGAATATAACATACTGTGCATGAGGTATAGTATTGGGGTCAGTTCATACTACCAACTCATTATGTTGCACTGTAAATATCAGATCTTTTATATCAGTGTTTTTTTTTGTATGTATTTATTTAAAAACATATATACAAACATCTGTAAACAGTCTCTTTGTGTTTGTGTCGTTTATTTCTGTTTTGATCATTTTCTTTGTTTAGTCGTTCCAGCCTGTCAGAGGGCTGCGGATTATTTAATTTTCTAACACCCATGTAACAACGCTTTGATGCATTTTCCCAATAAATGAATAACAAAAGGATATTAATAATAATCTAAATATAGCTTCCGTTTCTGGCTAAAGCATAACCTTTTGACTGACTGACAATTTTAAGTCACATTTTAATGTCCTCAGTGTTTCAGTTTTTTGGTTAGTTTCCTATAACAGCTTTTTGTATGTAAAATCAGAAATTATTACTTTAACAAACCACTGACAAACCATATTTCATGATGAGCACCTTTCTAAATTGGCCATAACAAACCTAGTTAGTGTTCAAAAAATAACTAATAGTTCAAAAACATTAATGTAATGAAGTGATGTTGTCATTTAAGAAAAACCCCCAATTAATTCTCTAGAGAATAGAAAATAATACAAATAAGAACTGATATAAAAGCCAAAGATAAAATAAACTGCTCTTTATTATGAGAACACCAGAATGCACACTACATGACAGTAAACATGTTTACAGGCATTAGTATCTGTTGCACAGATCAGCTGAGCAGCAAGTGGCAGATGATACACCGGGCTGATTCATTATCCTGCAGTCATTTGACTTCATGCAACCTTTGAAATATCTGGGAGCTGTGGAAACAAGGAAAACAAGGTGGTATGAAATCATCTGTTGTAACTGATTTAATTTTGTTCTTTTTTTTCCCTGCACACTAAACCAAATGAGGGTTTTGACTTACTAGATCCTGCATAAATGATGGCACTGGTGCAGACATTGTTAAAGCCATGGCAGGTCTCCACAGAGTTTGGGCAGTGTCGCAGACCTCCACAGTAACACTTCAGAGCATCACCTGGGAAAAAAAATAAATCAGGTTTAATCACTGTAGCAAAGCATTTTCACAGCCAATAATTTAAATACAGTAAATAGAACAGTAGCAGAGTCTCCCAAATGTGCCTCATTGACAGATATGGAAAATGATGCATATAGAAACAGGCTGCAGCTTAACTCACTCTGGCTGATGACCAGCAAAACCAAAACAGCAACAATCACAGTCTTCATGTCTTCAGGATGCCTCGCCTCACTGCACCAATCTCTGCATGAAAAAAGGGAATAAATGTGAGAAGATCAAACTCTTTAAGCTCCACCATAATCCACACAATGAAAGACAAACACATCCCACCTGATGAACGATCCTTCTGGAGAGTGATTCCTCAAATGTGTGTCAGCTTGGTTTCCATCCTCCTTTTTTATTTGGTCTTGTTGTGCAATTGATGCGAATCTAGTGTATCATTAACTCAAAACTTCATGTGGGTTTTTGCACAAACACAGAGTGAAATATCAAGATCAGATTGTGATGCTGCAAAAACACACCGTGACATCACTTGACTCATCAAGAGAACATGCAAATATATTTGCACACCAGTTGTTCTGTTTGTATAAGCAACATATGCAGCACAAAGTAACAACATGATGTGAGGACACGTATAAAGCGCAATCAACCAATTCTTCTGACCTGTTGTGTAATATTTGCATTGCTTTTGCATGCTCAGTGTAATATTACCTTGAACACCTGAAACACCCACATGGTGGGTCTTGGAAAACACACACTGACACAACTTACAGGGAATGCACAATATGCTGTTGAAGGAATAGCGTCATATTCCGATGTTTTCCAACAGATTTTCCAGTTAAACAACCTTTGCTTCTGTTAGAAAGTGTAAATAATGAGTTAATAATGAACCAAATTTACATAAAAATGTAGATATGAAGAATTACTCTGTTCCAATCAGCAAAGAAGATCATTTGTTTGCTTATTTTCTTGTCTGAGAAGTTTCATCAACAGCTTCTTTTAAAAAAACACAATTATTGTACATTGACTTATATAATCAGATTGAGTGGCGAGTAAGGACGAGGATAAACCAGCGCTCACCAAAAACCCGTTGCATTCAAAGGCCCTAATGAGACGCAGAGCAGCTGCAAATCCTCTTCTTTTAAGAAAGCAGGGTGCTGACTTTGTGTTCTTCTGTGGTCGTCTGAAATTTTATTCAACTTGTGGACACATTCATGTTTCTAAAAAACATCTTTTTTCCTCTTTAATCCTTTCTTCAAAGATATCAAAAATGAAGCCATTTATTTCAAAGCTGAACTGCTGCAGCCCTCTCGTTTCTCATTTTGTTAAACTCGGGGTTGCAAATTTAACTTAATTATTAAGAAATAATCAGACAAGACAATCATCAAATTTCCAGAGTAATAATAAAGTAAACTAAACAAATACAGTGATGTCTAATAATTGTGAGTTTTGGTCTTTTTCAGGCATCAGTACTAATCACCTAATAACTAAACAGAAAACGTTTTAGGAAAAAACGCAAAAACACGACTTTTCTTGGCATATAAAAGTCTTTATACTGATATATGTAAGCAATACCATGAGATTTGAAAACCACAAATAACCTGTCAAATAACAGCAAAGCATCGTAATCCAAATCCAAGAAAATTCAGAGCTTTGCCTCAGTGAAAAATAATCCAGTTTCTGTCTTTTTCTTTTTTCTCAAGCTTTGACACAAATAACCGGTAACTGCATTTTCTCCTTAAATAATTCCAAAGCAATTTTCCAAAGCTTATGCCGGTCTCCTGACTGCTGATGGCTTATTGCAACTAAGCAGTCATATATAGCACACAGTATGCTGGTTATTCTGACATGTTTTCTGTCTCTGAAATATCATTTGCATAAACAGTGGTAAGTGTGATACAACAGCAAAGGACACAGTTGCACATTTTCTGCATATTTATTTTGTCAGCCAGAGAGAAATCATTCAAAAGTTCCTGAATACTCTGAATATTCTATAAGTGTCATAAGTTCATCTTTTTGTCCCTCGGAGGCATTTTTATTTCATAAATTAAGACCAGTTTAAATATTTAATGGGACCCACTTTATTTTTTTTCTTTGAAGCTAAATCTTTTTATTTATGTTTAAATTATGAGCAGCTATGGTGTGTTTATTATAAATGCTTGAGGAAGATTTTCTTTTGCATTGTTTTGCTCTATTTAACGCTTTAGTGAGGAAAAATAGGAAATTTTGACATTTTAAGACGGCTTTAAAAGGAGATACTAACATAATTATAACTGAAATCATAAGTAAGTACTGTGTACTGGTTGGTGGAGTTTAAATATTAGATACTTATTGTCCAAATATTCACAAAACAACCCAGAAGGCTGAACTGAGAAAGACATTCAATTAAAAACAATAAACAATCTACGCCGTGTGATGCACATACTCTACTTTCTACATGCAAAGTGAGGCATGTTTCATTTTTGTTCCTCTGCATTCTTAAAACAGCAAATCATCCTCACTTGTCTGCACATAAATACAGCGCCTGTGTACACAATCAACTGGTTGTCATGTAGAATGCTTACACATTAATTTGGAAACCTTTTCCGTAGGAAAAAGAATAAATTACTTTACCATGCAAGGAGGTAACAGGTATTATCAACTGCAAGTTGTTCTGAAGATGTTGGAAAAAATATACAATATATATACTGGAACCCACTGTCGTGAGCTTTTTTCTTTTTTAGACACACTTCAGTAAAGCCAAAATGAAGCACAAAAATACATGCTTTTGCATAGAAATAGTGTAAATTGCGTGGAGTTTGAGTAATAAGGGAGCATGGGAAGTAAAAGGTGGGGAAACAGAGCACACATCGACAGTCTCTGCCAGAGTCTCAGAAAACACTGTTGCATGAAGAAGTTGCATGTTAGAAATTTCGTGTTGGGTTCTGCTTTGTTCCAGTCTGCTGCTGAGATGTGGAAATATTAATCCGTGAGGTCCAGGCACCACGACTGCTCTGTGCTCTGAGTCTGAACGCCGATGCTGGACCGTCGTGAAGATGCACTTCCACTGTCCCTGCTTTCCAAAGAGCCTGTGTTTCCCAGTAGGCATTCCAGACTAGTGTGCTCCACCGCAGATGGGTCACCTAGTGGGAGATGGGGCTCAATAACATCAGATTGTAATGATCCTGAATCCACAGAACTCCCAAAAGGCTGGCATGGTAATGTGGGTGGAGAGGAAGAGACAGGGTGGAGAGAGGAGTTTGAATCCTTAATTTGGAAGATTGAGGTATCCTGGATCAGAGGGTGAGATGGCGGGGTGGACATCAGGACACACATGGCCTCATTTGAGGCTTTTAAAGGATTAAGGTTGGCATAATGACTGGGTGATGTGTCCAGCAGGCTGTGTGTGGACATTCCTGTAGGGACACTGGACAAAAGGCAAGAGTATTCATCATTATCACTGGGAGGCTGCAGGCACAAAGTGGGCTGGGACTGACTGATGGTAATTGAGCTAGCACCGAGGGGTCTGTTGTCTTCATGTCCAGCATGAGGTGGAAGGCCTGGACTTCCTCCATGGAAGCCTGGGCTGATGCTAAGAAGTGATGGGCTGGTCCACAGATGTGCAGTCATGCTCTCAGAGCTATGACACGGGACAGATTTAGGAGAAGATTTTGGAGAGAGTGTTGGACAGTGGTTAGCAGGCGGACTACAGGACTGAGGCCGCTGGTGGCTCTCTGTTGGGGTTTCAGCAGTTCCACTGCAGCTCCAGTGGCCAGCGGCTGGGGCACTTTGGTGGGAATAGTGGCTCCCGGGAACGTTATGGAGGTGGAAAGCTGAACTATGACTAAAAGGCATGCCGCTGTTGGAGGCTCTGGGAGAGTTGGACGCCATTTGGACACCACACGGATGGGAGGGGAAAGAGGCATTGTAGTGATGAAAAGATACGTGAGCCTGGAGGATGTGCATCATGTGGTGAAGGCTCTTGGTGAGCTCAGAGACTTCCTGGTTTAACGTGCCCATCTGTGGAGAGAGCACTTACAGTTTACATGTGACATTTAAAGACTTCCAACATATTCAATGTAGGTAAATTTTCAAGGGAAACATTAAGGTAACAAATGATAAGGTTCTATCGCTGCTTAATTAATGAATTAATCAGCTTCTCTATTTAAAGTTTACTCTCGGGCTGATGTCCAGCTATAACTTTCTGATGACCTTCCGAGGACTGTAAAAAAGTTGAAATCCCCTCTTGAAGAGATGTCTTCTAAAGCACTTGTGAAATCAAGGAAGAAGAGCAGGTAAGTGACCCTAGCAGAGAATAAAGCAGACAGAAAGCTAAGGATATACAAAATGCAGATGGGGGCCAAAAGGGCCACAAGTAGAGAGAGGTTGTCAACTATTTTTTAAATTGCAGAGTCAGCACTACCAGCCATCCTCTGCATTGCAGAAGTGCCCTGCTGATTAATTAATATTGACTTCAGACAGCACCCATCTGGATACTCCTGCTGCACCTGCTTTCGCTCTATTTACATTCAGATTAAGAGAGCAGGGGGAGACTGAGGTATAGGCCGGCATCAAGTCTGCTTCATCTCACTTTATATTTTTCCTTTACTTTACATACACCAAGCAGGCCGGTAGTAGATGAGATGCTACAAATTTATCTGTGTGACAAAAAAAGTGAAGCTTGTGATTCTATATTTTTGCTTTTTACATACAACATAAAATAAGATGGATTTTTGTTTCTTAATTATTCCTGTGTTTCATTTTCAGTCACTACCAAAGACAGAATGTATGATAATAAGAAGGAGAGCACTGAGCAAACTGCTCTGGATCTGTGAGAATTCACACTCAGGGCTACATTATCCTCGGTGCTATCAATTTTAATTTGGGCTAAGGGGCTGTAGCTCACCTGAAGGTTGAGTTGACTGATGCTCTGCCTGACCTCCTCCGTCTCCAGGAGCAGAGCAGGATTATTTTGTGTGGTGTCTTGGGAAACGAGGGGAAGAAAAATAGGAGGAGTTTTAGCTCCCAGGAGGACTGATCAATTTTAATATAAAGCAAAATTATGTTGCATGACCCCAGTATGTGCCGATAGAAGTAATACATGCATGTGTAACTATGTATGTTTAAATTTCTCTATAAATGAAACGTCATCCAAATTTCACTTAAATCCCCAAAATAGAAACATATTTTTTTATGATGGACAAAAATAAGTGATCCTTCGCTTTGAGTGTCTGGTGTGACCCTCTGACTCCCAGGAGTCATTGCAATTCAATGCTTTTGGTAACTTTTGATGAGGAATCTACCTGGAGGAAATTTAAGCTTTTCTTTCATCCACAAAACATCGTTTTAAACAGCTTTGTGGTGCACACAGACAGTTCTCTTTCCTTACAGTCCTGCATGCACACCGTTGTTGTTCACTGTTCTCTTGACGGTGGGCTCATAAACATGAATATCATTATTAGAAGGGACTTCAGCTACTTAGATGTTACCCATGGTTTCTTTGTGAGCATCCTCTATCTGTACACCGGACAAAGATCTCGACTCGACTAACCAGTGGCTCCTCGTTGTTCCCATGTTGAGATTGAAACACCGGGGAGGACAGAGCTCTAAATCTCTTTTTAAAAAATACTAAAGGGGAGCCGAGTCATGATTGTCATCCTACTGACTGAAAGAACCTCACTCTAATTTCACGTGCAAATTTCCAACTATTCTTAGAGGTTCACATTTTCCCGTCAATAGGTATCTAACGCTTCCTTATTCTTCCTAAAAAAAAAGAGACCACGTGATTTATTTTTCATTTAATTTAGTCCTTCTTTTCTTCTTTTATGACTTGCAAGAAAAAAGGATGATATTTTGGGCTATAGTTTTACACAAATACAGAAAATTCACAAACTGTACATGCATTAATTTATCTGTCTGAGGTGGGTGGGATGTGTTAGTTGTAACAGCAGTTTTGTGAGGTGTATAAAGAGTTTAATTTGCTTTTCTGCTGGAGTGCATAATGCAACACATATTTGGAAATTTCTTTATATTACACAATCTAATACAGCTGCACATTGCACTGTGTTACATAGTGTTTAACTTTATCCTGGTTTTGCAGTCTTTGTAGAAAGTGCTTTGGCTTTCTATATAACCTTGGTCTAGTATCATAGTGTCCACAAGCAAGCAGATGATGATAGGCAGACAGGAATAACTGTCTGCAATCAAAACAGAAACTGGAGATCGCCAGAGAGGAGCTAAAGAGATACAAGTTGCAAGACTATGCTACCAAAGCACTCCCCTTAATAAGCAAATTAGCTGAATCTCTACTGAACTGAAACTGATAGTAATCCTAGGAGGAAAGCAACCATGCGTGGAGATTGAGGTCAGATGGCCAGAGCCCTGCTTTGACCTCAGTTGTCCTTTAACATGTTCTCTGACTCTGTGGACACCTGGCTGTCATTTCATTCTGCTGCGCTCTCATATTCCCCCTAAAGCAGGCAGACCTGCCTCGTGGTATCCACTATTTGAACTCCTGAGTTTACCTCCAGCCATCTGGCACCCAGGTGACCCTAGCAGCTCGTGGGTGGTTTGACTTACCTTGGGTGCTGCTGCTCTCTGAGCTGGCATTAGGCCCGCTGTGCTCCACGTTGAAATGGAACGTACTCCCGTTGTCTTCGATGCCATCTACAACCCTGGCGAGAGGGGTGAAGAGGAGGGAGACCGGAGTTAATGTAACAGTAGAGCTTTTTCAATTATCACTGGAGCCAAGAGACAACCGAGCGATGTGCCATGAGAGCTGCTGCTGGCAGACGCCCATGTGGGTTTGAACATGAAGACAGCAGCACAAGTCTGGAGGGGCGGACACCTGAGCTCTGTGAACCAGCACTTACCCATACCTAGAACTTACTGGGTGACTTAGGGATGCATTATGAATACAGATAGCGGGATCGGGAGTATAAGGTGTGATGGTTATGAAATGCAGTAACATCTGTTGAAATATGCAATGCAAATACACTACATCTGCAGCTTTCTGCTCAGTCCATTACTGCAAAGCCTCATTCAGATGCTCTTGGAGATACTATGACTGTATTAAAATCAAGGTGACTATATAAACATTCAAGAAATACGTGTGAAATTGTTTTGAAGTAGAAAGAAAAAATTATGCTCCTTATGTATCATCAAAACACACATAGAACAGCCGTAAAGTACTTTAGTTAGTATTATAGTTCCTGAGTACATATTATTATTAAACCGCATGGAATTGTATGACATTAATTTAGCCTTTGTGTTTTTACTTATGTTCTGGCTGAGGCCTGAAATTAAATATGACTACCTGGGACTAAGATCCGGTGGCCCAAAACAAGTGACAGTTGGAATGAGCAGCTTTGTAGGCTTTTGCTCAGCTCCTGACTCTCCCTCAGCTGCGGTTGATGCCGTGCTCGGGGCTGAGACAGGAGTCGTGTGCTCTTTTTTCGAAGGTGGCTGAGGGGAGCTCTGTCCTAGGAAGCCACGGCTAAGGTTCGGCGAACGGCAGCGTCGCAGGGCGTTGAACTGCCGTAACTCGTCCCCCAGGAGGTTCCCCAGGGAGGTGCGGCGAACGGGGCTGGTGAAGTTGGGCAGCAGGAGGTTGCGGCGGGAGCGCGTGGCTGGCGACAGGTGGAAGGAGTCGTCAGGGTCATCAGTCTTGGTTTCCACAATAGAAGGAAGCCTGGATTGCTGCACAAAAAGAAAGTACAGTATGGAGAGTTAGCAACTAAACTGTACACTCTCAAAATAGTAAGATAAAAACAGTAAAGTGATGGTAGTTAGCTCTGCTTGTTAGCAAGATCAGTAAGAAGACCTATTTGCTTTTGGATGGTGTATTTGGACTTGCATTATAATTTTAACTGAAATGGGAATTTGTCTTGATTTAGTTAAATGGTTAACTCTTTGAGTCACATCTGGATCTGGATCCATGAACTTTTTCGAAGGCTTCTTAACTATTGAAAGATTATAGGAGCTTATTTTTGCAACTGGAAAAAAAAAAATCTGCTACTTGTGAGTCAAAATTTCAGTTTATTTTTAAGTCAAGTCAATAATTTGACCTTAGGGGTAGGTTTAGGGTCAGGGTCTGGGCTACAGATGGTGTTAGAAAATAACTAAAAATTGACAAAATCTTGAAATTTCACATTACCAGATTTTGAGATAATAATTAAAAATTTTAACTTGCGAATGGGGAAAAAAAAAAAAACTTTTTTCAGACCCATAAGAATTTATTTTTTTCTCAGTGAGAGGAAAAAAAGCTTCTACTGTATGTAATATAGATAAAAATGTGCATATCTTGGAAAATTCATCTTAAATTAAAGCAATAATAAATTCAGATCCAGACTTAAGATTCAGCTCTTATATTCATCTTTTTATATATTTATGCATAACAAACACCAAAGAAGACTTTTTTGTTTTATCTTTTTTAATGAAAAAACAAAAAAGAACTAAAACACATCTTAAAAACGGTTCTGTTCAAACTATCTGTCAAGTTTAAAACATCTAATATGGTTTAAAGCTGCCGATGAGGACAATTATGTATTTACAGCTGACAGTATGTCCATCATTAATTTACTAATGTTAGAAATGTGCTGTGCTTCTGCCAACAGAACTGTATTACACAGCCGTTTAAAACAGACAAAGTGAGCACTGTAAATAGTGTTTTAATGATACAGCAATAAAGCAGACTGATAAGTTCAGTACACAGTAAGCAAAGTAGCTCATAAGAGTTCCCATTAAAGGAGCTATTGACCCAGTTAGTGTGCCAGCTTGAGAGACTGAGCTGCGTTCATGTAGGGGAAGTCCTTACACAAGTCCCCCCAAAGTACTCACTAGCATTGCAGTAAGTTCCAGAAAAAAATGGTGGATGAAATCTCAAAAATACACAGCATACGTAATGACAACAGCTGTTCCAAGGCACTGCCAGCTGTAGATTAAAATTCAATACCAGCAGTATGTTAAGGAAATCTGAAAATGTGAAACCTGACTAGAAGGATACTGAATTTGCACTGAACTCACGTGTGGAAGCCTCGGTGACTTAGAAAATCTTCGGAGGCCCTGCATTGACAAAAAAGAAAGACACAAGAAAGAAAGTAAGGCATAATACCTTAATTTATTCATTCAGCCTCCTGTGTATCAAACCCTGAACATTTAAGATTAACTGTTGCAGTGAAATCCCAAAAAATGAATACATTTCACTGGTTCCTTTTCTGTAGCAAAAGTGTCTAAATTCAAATTTGTTAGTCTCTCTTTCATCCACTGGTGCCACTAATTAAATGAACTTGGCCAGCGATGCAGCCACATGAGCTGAATTACATGCTCAATCTTCTTTCTACGCTCGATTGCGCCGGAATTCCAGGGGAAGTTTGTCTTTCCCTGGTGTGTGTGTGTGTATGTATGTGTGTATGTGTGTGTGTCTATGGCTAGAAATTTTTAGCAACTTAGCAATCACCAGCTGGGTGGCAAATAAAGCTGTGGTAGCGTGAGTCCTTCCCTTGTGTGTCAAAAATGTGCTTCTGACAACATGGCTAATGTGACAGCACAAGCCACAGCCTGCCATTCTAGCAACATCATGCCAGCGATGCACTTTGACGAGGGAAACCAGCGAGGACGTGAATTAAATTTAATCTTTTGTTAAAGCACAATGCTGAGGTTAAAAAAAAAAGTGGTGCTATGTGGGAGGCGAAGGGAAAACGTGCATGAATCTGTTGAAAACAGGGGCAAACACTCCTCATAAGGAAACTAACCCTGGAGCAAAATGGGATGATTAACCAGCCAGTGAGAAACATTGGTTTCAACTTACATTAAATGTCGAGTCAATTAAAGGAGCACTAATGCAACAAGTGTCCCACATAGCAAAGTAGGTTTGCAGGGACAGGGGATTCTGGGAATTTCAGTCACAAGTATGCTATCTTGCACAAAAAGGGACGGAAGCAGCAAATTATGCCTGACTGACTTATAAAATTACACACCGTATCTGTTTATCAAGTAAGTAGAGAGGGTTTTGCATAGTAGAGAGCTTTTCTTTTTACTTCTAGAGTCTAGAAAATCTCAAACTGGATCTACTGGGTCCAACAAGTTGAAACAGAGTTATCCCAAATAGAGCTGTCTATGAGCTCTCACAGTGGAAGATGCACTTCCAGAGACATTAATGTGGTCTGTGGGCGGGTCATCTGAGATAGTAGTCGTCTCTGCGAGCTGCACTCTCCAGGTTAGAATCGTCATGCTAAAAACTCAAAGTTCGGGTGGCAAATAAAGCTGTGGTAGCTATATATAACTAATATCATTTTTGTATACTGTCATCACTGCTTAGCAGCGGGTATCTTTGTCAACTTTGTTAAACTGTTTTTGTCAATTTGAGGCTCCAAAGGGAGCCACATCCCCATAACTCAGACCGACCGGCTTGTTCTTCACACGCCATGACTACAGACTACTTAACCCTCCCTGTGGCGACACGGTCATTATAGCCCAACAAATTTTGACACTCTGCTGGATCCCCGGTGGTGGAGTGACCTTCCCACTCTGCCCAGGACAGCGCAGTCATCCCTGATCTTTCAAAGCTCACCTCCCTTAAGAAATAAGCAACACTCCTGGGTCCTAGACCCCAATTACAACAAACCATTCAACCTGACCTTAAACCTGACAACTCTGACACATCATTACTTTTACTGTTAATGTTTTGAAAGTAAGTCTGCCATTGGGTGTTGAGTTGGTAGAGTGCACAGCATTTGCTATGAAGTGAAGCAAGATCCAGGCTGGACAAATAACTGATGAGCTTTAAGTAACTAAAGTAACTACGCAGTGTAATCCTCCATAAAGCCAGTGAGAGCTGCAGGTTCACAGCGAGTGCTTTGGAGTGATTTATGTAATAGCAAACTTATAATAATACCAGTATAGAGTGTTTTTTACATAATTGGCTGATGATTACAATTTCAGTGTATCTGACTTTGCAGTTGATGTTTTTAGTTTCTCCAGCTGAGACACTCAGCTTGGTTTGCTGAGTAAAAAAATGTTACATTTTCTCCCCAAACTGCTAAAAATAATTTCACTGACAGCACAGCAACAAAAGCTGAAATTAAATTATAGAATTGACAGAAAAAGAAAAGTCTTTTTCCATCTGGCATTCTGCTTTTTCTCCATTTACAGAAGATAAAGTAGTCCCTTGTGGATACCTTATATTGTAATAAGTATTCCTACAATCTGTTTCTTTGGCACTGTTTCACTGCGACTGACTGATTACTGTGCTGTCAGTATATAATACTCAAGTTAGTCTCAGGAGTTAAAGGACTTCCCTTCCTAGAGGAATTCCAATCTTAAAAAGACCCACTGTGAGGATGCCGATGAGACCAGTACAACTGTGAGTGTGTGTGTGTGTGTGTGTGTGTGGTCTGGAAATCAGGTAGCAAAATAATTCCTTCATCCTTGCAGGGGGGTGGCTGTCCCCTGGCTTTGTGTTTGAGCAAAAACCCTGAACAGATGGCATGAGAGAAGTGCTAGTACTCACGATCAGCCATGCTTCAGAGAAGCCTATCTAATTTAGAAAACACAACTTATGTTTAAACACATACACAGTTTCTGCATAACTAAACATTCATTCTTAGGTCACAGGTACTTCTGCTATATATATATATATACCAATATATGCAATGGTTACTTAAAGGTGGGATTTTGCTCTTTGATGTTGCCTCATGGAACAAGTCTACCAATCACAATCAGTCTGCTTTGAAGTGCTGATTAATACAATTAAAGTTGTTTTCCCTGAGCCTGACTGACAAAAAGACATCTGCTAATTAACACAACCAGCACAGATGCCTATCGCGTCCCAAACTAAACAAATCAACCTAAGAAAAAAGAGAAAAAGAAATGATTAAAGCCAACGAGAAAAGCCAGATTCGAAAAAGAGAAATGCTTGAAGCAAAAAACACAATGTTTGAGAGGGGGAGGTTGCGGATGTCCTTGGAGATCTTTGTCAGTTTTGTCAGTCACACATGAAAAACTAAATCAGTTTTGTTTGTAGAGTTCAATTAAATATCCAATGAAGCCAATTACTTTTTTCTCCAAGGTTACAATCGTTCAATGCTTAAGTTTGGATTGTTAAAACGATTACAGAATAGTAGCTGAAGATATGGACCCATGTGGATTGGCAATGGCAGCATTTGCTACTTGCTAGTTCCAACTTGTAGCTGCTTTTATCTTCATTAATGTCTTAATTCTTCATGGCATAGAATGACATCCCAATTTAGGCATGCTGGTTTTTCAGGTTTGAAGGCACCGAATCAACACCAGTATGTTGTGTGTATTTGGTACCTCGTCCTGGCTGCCTTCACGAAGGTTATAGGTGAGGTTGTTGTGGATGTCGGAGGTAAACACGCTGCCATACTCGGGGTATAGTTCCAGCACCTCCTTCAGGCCACGCACACTGATGTACTGGAGATCGCAGTAGGTAAGCGCCTTCACATCAGCATTGGTTTTGATTACCTGGTCTGTTCCAGGCAGGTCGGAGCCAATCAAATCTCCTTTCCCTAAAATCCAAAAGATGATAAATTCCCTGTTACACTTTAAAGTACAAAAAATATCAAATAAATACAAAAACATGATGCAAAAAATGCAATCTGACAACAATACAGACCTAATATAGCCAGCACCATGCCATCCTTCAGCACCTCTAGAGAGCCAGAGCAGACGAAGTAGTTGGCATGCAGCGCATCACCCTGACGGATGAGATACTCTCCCGGGACACAGAATGAGGTTTTTATATGAAGAGAGAGTGAGCGCAGGCAGCCGCGGCTGGCCCCCTTAAAGACCGGCAGCTGGAGGATGTCCTTATTCAGATGCATGGCGATATCGGCCCGCAGCTCATCAGGGAAGTCATGCAGGAGCTGGGGATTTGTGACAGATGTAATGAGGTATGACACTGATAAGTAATTAGTGAATGGACTGTGTTGCCACCAGTCACCCTCTTTTGAATTTCAATAGGATATCAATTGATGGAGTATAGGGAACCATGTGCTGTGCACAAACAATTACAGCTTCAAAGGGCTGGCAATGAATTTTAGAGCAGAGTTCATTGTTCAATTGCCATCGAAAACAGTGCTGTGAAGTTCCTTGAAGGCAGATAACAGCATGTACAAAGATATTACATGACAGCAACAAGAAAGGGACTCCTACCTCGTTGGCATCTATACCATTGTTGACAGACCATGTGGTCTGGAAGTACTCCAGCATGCGCTGTTTAAGCTGCTGGGACAGACGGTGGACACGAATAAAGTCCTTCAGGTCCTTCATACGTGTGTGGTAGAGAGAGCGGCGCGAGTACATACGCTGGATGATGGCGGTAACATTACCAAAGACCAGTGCATGCATCAGTGCTGTAATAAGGACAGAAACAAAGGTGTAAATATAAAGGTGGGATGTGTAAAGATGTAACATATTACAATTTCAAATCCTATTTTGAAGTGTGGGCCCAAAGATATTCTTAAATTCTTAAGTTTTACCTCCTGATTACAAAAAAGGTTAACAATATTAAATAAAAACGAAAGAAATGAAAGATTTAAGTCTATTGATCCTTTATAAAATGTTTGTTTTTTTAACATATTGAAATACATTAAGTGGATAAAAGCACAGGGTTACCTACAGATTATACCTACATGAGTTTCTTGGTCATGGATACCCATGCAATGAAGCTCCCACTGCACAGTTTTGTGTTAATGTTAATGCCAGATGAAGAGGTTTGCAGAGCATTGGTGACTTTTACACATCTAATATTCCATGATCCCCATTCTTTCACACATTTGTAAAGGCAGACTGCATTACTACATGCTTGAGTTTATACACATGTGGCAATGAGACTGAAAAAACTGAATTCAAGGATAGAAACATGTGGTTTAATACTTTGTTTTTTTCTCATAAAGTGTATATTATATGGCTCACTGCCCAGTCATGATCTACTTTTGATCCACAAAGAAGCCACAAGTTACAATTCTGCTTTCATCACCGATCAGAAAAGCAGTAAAACAAACACTTATTATTTATCTTCTGATATGCTGCACCAATAATTGCCATTTCAGCTGTTTCTGGATTATGAAGACGACGGCAAGCTGTGTCTTAAAGGCCAGCCAAGCCATTCAACTCGATTCCTGCTGAATTTGTTGTACTCGCATGCCAAACAGAAGCAGCGTTATGCCAGGATGCCAGAGGGAGAATGTACCCCGGTGTCAGACGTACCGCCGATGAGCATGATGCAGATGGAGAAGATCTTCTCAGCATCGGTGTTGGCACAGACGTTGCCAAAGCCCACACTGGTCAGGCTGCTGAGGGTAAAATAGAGGGCAGCGATGTAGGAGCTGTGCACTGTTGGGCCGCCCACTGTGCTGTTAACGTAGGGCGTCTCCAGACGTTTGCCCAGCTCATGGAGCCACCCTTGAAAGAGAAGGTTAGAGAGTAGCGTTGACAGAGCAACGTCCAGAAGTTTAACCTCTTGTTATTTTTATGTGGATGGTAGTGGCAAGATCGGAGTGCAATGTGAGAGAAATACAGAAATGTATGTTTGTGCCTGCATGTGGGTGTCTTTCTGTGTATTAGAAAGAGATGATCAACAGCGTCAGGAGCCAGGTATGTTGGCTATAATTAGACCTACTCCTCCAGGGATAAATAGTGCTAAGCCTTAATTAGCAGCTGTGACTTCACCTCCCTTCAGCCAAAATGTACATACAAAAGCATGCATCATTCATTGACACATCAGCGTGCTGCTTGCTACCAGCCACTTTTTTGTAAAAGCTTTTGATCTGGTTTCAGGCTGTTCTTATTAGAGCAGCAGATTACTGTCTCACCACAGAGCAGAGCTAGACACCCAATAAGTAAGCAATTACTATTTATAGCATAGTAGGGACAAAACAAATGCCTACTCAGTTTTTGCAGGAAACAGCCGACTTACACACCTATTAAAACTGAATCAAATCAGAACAGGCTTCGCTTATGTTCTGAGAAAATGTTGAAATGTCTTAATGTCTCGCCCTTGCTAGATGAAACACCAAAAATTCAACAGATCGGACTTCAGCAAGGCCACAACTAGACTCACCTATGTCCCAATTATCATTGGTCTCTAGTTCTTTGCGTCCAATCATGTACCAGATGCAGGCCATCCAGTGAGCCAGCAGGGCAAACACAGACATCAGCAAGGTTAGCACCATGGCGCTGTACTGGGAGTAGCGGTCAAGCTTCTGGAGCAGACGAAGGAGGCGCAGGAGGCGTACTGTCTTAAGCAGGTGGACTAAGGAGGTCTGAGGCAAATATGGGAGGAGAGGTGACAGAGAAAAGGAGAGAAAGGAAAGAGAGTAGAAAGCTAAATATCAAAATATCAACACTCAAACACTTTGTATTGTTTGCGAAATGTAGTACATATGGTTTACTTGTCACATAGGCAGCCAAACTGCAACAACAGGGCAGCAAGTTATCAGTTTAATGGTAATGCTGACAGCCACAGATGGATGCGGGGACAAAAAAGAAGGCTGGACATATGATTGTCCAGTAGTACTCACCACTGTGATATTGAATGCGTACAGCAGGTCAAAGGGCAGGGCAGCCACCAGATCCACAAAGAACCAGGTGGTGGCGTAGTGGATGCAAATAGAGCGTGGCTCATACACCACCTGGCCTGACTGGCTCACATAGGTGGTGCGAAAGTTCATGATGATGTCTGAAAATATGTAATTATAAAAAAAATAAAATAAAACAAATAAGCAGGCCTGAAATATGACAGAAAACACTCAGTTCATAAAGAGCTTCAAGGATTGCCACTAGAAGCCTTTCAAGGGGTAAAAAGTCAAGCACCACAGCCTACGTGAACATTGCTGCTGACCATGTCGGTCCCCGTATGACCACAATGTACCCATCTTCTGATACAATAACACACCATGTCTCAAAACTGGAATCATCACAAACTGATTTCTTGAACATGTGCTCAAATGGCCTCCACAGTCCTAAGATCTCAATCCAACAGAGAACCTACCTGGTGGAACAAATCTGCAGTAACTCTGTGATCCTATCGTGTCAATGTTGAGCGAAATCTCTCAGGAATGTCTAAAGTTCCTTGTTTAATCTATGCCACAAAGAATTAAGGCAGGTCTAAACGAAACGGTGGGAAAATTATTAAACATCTGGGATGCTTCATTGTTACTTTACAATTTCAGGGTCTGTATGCAAGAAACATATAACCTTGACGTCACCACATGGCAAGCATGTAACATGCAAACTATTTGAATTAGCAACACCTCAGTTGAGATGAAAGCTCATCGTTGGATGCACATTTTATTTTTCATTGAATATTTAGCATTTGGGGTGATTGTGGCTCAAGAGTTAGGAGTTCGCCTTGTAATCGGAAGGTTGCCGGTTCGAGCCCCGGCTCAGACAGTCTCGGTCGTTGTGTCCTTGGGCAAGACACTTCACCTGTTGCCTACTGGTGGTGGTCAGAGGGCCCGGTGGCGCCAGTGTCTGGCAGCCTCGCCTCTGTCAGTGCTCCCCAGGGTGGCTGTGGCTAAAACATAGCTTGCCATCACCAGTGTGTGAATGAGTGTGTGGATGACTGGATATGTAAAGCGCTTCGGGGGTCCTTAGGACTCGAAAAGCGCTATATAAATACAGGCCATTTACCATTTATGGGAACACAATAAATAATTTAAAAAAACAAATACATCAGCATTAAAAAGATGTTTCATTACACCGTGTTCCTGGAGCGAATGCCCCTTTCAGCTTTAATATGGATTTCATTAATTATTCATTTAACTAGAAACGGGTAGACTCTAAGTAAATGAGCTTTCAGAAACAAGCAATCTCATGCCCCTTTGTGCCAAGTTGATGGCATCAGGAATCTGACATAAACTCCAAACCCATGCTCAGAGGAGCGTGTTGCAAGCCAGCCACCTTAATTTATCCCTTGGGTGCTTTATTGAACTAAGAAGAGTCCCTCAAAGAGACCAAGTACATCCTGAAGGGACTCCTAAACCCAGGTAACCTGAATAAGAGGGGACATTTCTAAGAAAAGGCTGCTTGGATTGTTCTGGTTTCCATGGTGCCATAGATGGCACAAATGGATAGATGTTGGAGTAAAACCTTACGTCAGCATGTTGAAAAATGCTTCGAAAACACCAAAATGTGATCATGTTTTATCTTGAGCAGGGATACGGGGACATCTTTGGAATACTGATAAAGTCTAATTTTGACAAACCAGTGTTATGGACCAATATTTGTTGTGTCACATCAATTTTGCATTGGGTAAATGTTGAAAAACAGTGTTCAGAATACCTAAAAGCCTTTAAAACATGTTAGTTATGTTTAATAAAGAATATTTATTTGTTTTCCTGGAAGAAAAGGGGAGTAAATAATAACAAAACAACAAAAAGGACAAAAAAAACATCAATACTGTCATTAGATACTGACCAAATTGTTACACTGGAATCTCTCTAGAGTTTCATAATTGATATGTTTTTCATCTAATCATCTTTCCCAATTACTTCTTTAAAAACTTACCTATAATAAAAAGCATTTCCACTGCAATGTCACTGACAATAGTGGAGCGTGCAGCTGTGATGGCATCATCGTGTGGCGTGAAGCTGACATTGTAGGGCACGGTGACAGCCACGTAGAAGGTAGCCAGCAGAATGAGCCAGTCCCACAGCGCTTTCAAAACGCTGTAGTGGAGCAGGATGAAGCGTGACTTCTGCACCGCTGCCACCTTGTACTCCGGTATTGCAGGCTTGTCCATCATGCTCTGTAAACAAACAGGTGAATAAAGTTTCAAACTTTCAAGCACAACCTCTAATATTCCTTCAAACATGTACGATAAAGGGAAACCACAGCCTCATGAATTTGAAGCTTTACTTGATAAATAACCAAAACACACAAAGTGCACTTGAGGAGCTGCATAAATGAATAACTGGATAACCAGATGGTCACGAGGTGGAGTATTGTGATGGACACCACGGTGCCAAGATTTAGCAGAAACAGACAATATAAATGTCAACACCCTCTCTTGTGCGCTGACCGCTGATGATTCACTGTGGTAGGCAACTCAAGTGAAACAGATATGGTAATGCTGCTGGTTATCTCTTCTCCTGTACCCAGTGATAAGACCTCTACAATGTCTGGGCAGTAACAACACAGTGAGTGTCTATAATTTCACACGTGGCTCGGCTTCACACTTCCAAATGTCATTCATGCTTCAAATCTCAGGTATCCAAGTGTCGTGGAAGTTATGTTGTTATGAGAAAAACGCGGCATACCACTAGATTGACCGTGCATTGCAGTTATCTTTTCTCACGTTTTGAAAATCCAGTGGTGAAAAGTATTGCAGATGAAATGGGAAGCCATTCAAAGCATAATGAGACTGCAACTCTCCAAATGGGGCCATGCACTTGCCACATAATAGCCTTAACCGTGTTTGGGAGACATGAGGAGAAGCTGTTACCTATGACAGCGGTGAGAGGGGAAAGAAAAGGCGAGATAAATGAGCAGTAATCCCATCTAAAAACAGTGTGAGCACTTTGGGAACAGGTGAACCCAAAAGAAGAAGCTGGTTAATTAAGGCTTAATGTGAGATTTCGTGTTTGGGCCCTGATGCTGCCTGGGCACCTCAGAGGAAAATGACAGATTCTATTTGAGTAATTGGAAGACAACAGGCAACGTTTACTTAAAAAAAAAGGAGAAACATCAGAGAGATGACATACTCCAGTGTTTCCAAGGAAAAAAGGATGATCCAAGTGTTCCCTCAGAAACCACGTATTAAAAGATTGTGCAAAAGATTGTATTATCACACTATCAGTGGGTTTTCTGGTCTCTGTCTAAATCCTTTTCTATCATCAACAGCTGTGTCCACTCTGATGACAGTTCAAGCAATGTCAGCGAAACCCTGACTGTTTCCTTTTTTCTTTTTTTTCATTTGCCTTACATCACAGAGGTCGCAAAGCCCACCAGACTTTTGGTTCTCAATGCAGGGAGTCGAGCCACATCGCAGTGATTAGGAAAGAAAAGCCTAGCATTTGCAGGCACGCATGGGAGTGCATGTCACACAGCTACAGCTGGTCTTCACACATCATTAACTCAAACTGTAGCCGTTGGGGCTACTGTTCCAACTACATCTCCCAGAGGTCTTTGGGCTTAGGAGATACACATGACTTAATATGCAACCCCCTTCACCCTCAACCACAAACTACTACATAGCAAACTTAGTGTTGAAATGGCCACAAACATAATTCAAATGTCACAAAAGGGCATTATACTGTCTAGATTATGCATTCTGATTGAGTCTGAACTTATTGTGCAAATCCTGGATAACTGCGCGTAATGCACTTTGCAATATTATGTTCAGCTTGGCAAAATCAGCAATCAAGGTGTCGTCTACTTAATTGTGTAACAACAAGAGACTGGAGATAAACATTCACGGTGAGTGAAGAAATAATAAGTAAAAAAAGAAAGAGAGAAAGTAAGATGTGAAAGCTCAGGTCAGCTTTTGTGTTTGCTTCACAACTTCATGAGGCTCCAGACGCCACTATTTTTCCAATTATGTGAAAAGTGGCAACATCTCTCCCCTGGGATGTGGAGCTGCCTGCAATCAAGTCTGATTTGCTTGTCAGTGTGCTTCAGTTTTATTACACACTACAAATATAACAGATTTGTAAACTTTCTGTTTCAAAATCACAAATCTTTAAGCAGCAAGTTGCCACCTCTGCTTCGGCTTTCTGGCTGTGGTCCCATTTAAAGATCTGGAGTGTGTCTACATGTGTTTGAGCAAAGCTACGGATCCTTGCCTGACAGGTCGATGAGCTACAAATAGAGATCTAGTCAAAATAGATATGGCTGGCTTGATGTGGAGGCAGAGCACACCATTGTTAGCTAACAGCTACTAAGATACAGACAGTGAAGGAGGAAAAAAAGAAAATGTATTAATAGTCAGAGTAAAGCAGTGGAGGAAGGATATTGATTCTTTACTTAAGGAGAAACATCAATATCACAATAAGTAAGCCCTGCATTCAAAATATGAAAAGTATCAACATGCCTTAAGGATCAACAGTACCATACGCAGAAATACAGGACTGTGCAAAAGTCTTGACCCACTCCTCATTTCTTTAAACTTTGTTTGGTGAAATGTGCAAACACACATGGAATTATTATTAGTTATTCTTCTACACATACTCAACTCTCTTAGTCAAGCTTTCTTGTAATTTCTTTAAGTAGTCTTCAGGATTAGTTCTCCAGGCTTCTTGAAGGACATTCAAAGCTCTTCTGTGGATGCTGGCGACCTTTTGTTCTGTTCTCTGTCAAGATGATCTCACACTGCTATTGAGGTCTGAACTCTGGGGAGGCCAATCTATGACTGATTGTGTTCCACTGTGTGTGTTTTTCAATCCAGCTATGCTTTTACTGCATTCGCAGTGTGTTTGGGATGTGGGTTTTTTGCATTCATCATATCATCAGATCCCTAACACCACTGGCTGAAATGCAGACCCAAACAATGACAGAGTCTCCACTGTGTATTAAAGATGGTTCCTTTACTTTTCTGAAGTCCTTTGAACCCAGAATTTCACATTTGGATCCATTACTCTATAAGAGCTGTTGTCTTTTAAAAAACAGCTAAAAACACATCTTTTTAAAATTGCATTTTGTTAACTTTTGATTGTACTTCGTCTTTTTAATCTGTGTCTATACCTTGTAAAGCACTTTGTGATCCCTTATCTAGAAATGTGCTATATAAATAAAATTTTACTTACTTTTACTTTACTTACTTTACTTCTAGTGTAATTTAGCACACCTCAGTCTTTTCTCCTCATTTCTCTTCCTTAAGAATGGCTTTTTGATTAAGCCTTAGTGAATAGTAGATGGATCAACTGAAGTCCTGGCACTTGTCCGGTTTCCTCATGTATTCTGAAAAACGCCAACTCTTTTGGCTAATAGCTAATCTTGATAGAGCAGAAAAACTGTTTTATGCCTGTGCTACATTTGGTCCTTTTCATAGATTTGACTAAACAAATTAAAATGAAAATTTTTAAATGTGTTTTCTAATAAAGTGCCTAAGAATTCAATTTAAAATTGTTTGTTTGCTAAGTTGTTTGTTAGCTGTACTCACAACACTGGTGTATCCCTTGGTTTCGGTGCCTTTTTGATGCTTGAATGAGCTAAAGGTAAATGTTAACATTACTCTGAAAATGGTCCAGTACAAGAGCTGGGCTGAAAATTAGTGAAAAAGGAGCCAATATCAAAAAAATATATCTTATTATTATTAGACTTTATTAGTATTATAAATCACATTTTTCTGTTATTTCAGCTGTTGTATCATTCTGGAATATTGCCCTTCAAACTGCTGCTAACCTCACAGAAAATGGAAGTGTACATACTCAAAATGTAAGCATTACATAAAAAAAAGTTTTAAAAGCAAAGTTCAGTATGTAAGCTGCACTAGCAAAGAAGGGCGAGACAATTTAAGTAGAAGAAAATGGGAGTATATGCAGAAAGACAGCAGGATGAAGCCAAAACGAGATGAGGTTAGAGCATGGGTTAGAGTGACAGATGGAGAGGAAGAAGAAATGCAGAGAACGGTGGTTAAAGCTAAAAAAGAAGGGGGAGTAGGATGGGTGATGGTTTGGGGTAAGACGTGCATTTGATCCACTTATTCAATATAAATGAACCGATGTAGTTCACACGGCTATGTTATGTTGACTTTTTCAAGTCAAGCAAAACTGGTTTCAGTGTCTTCATTTTTTTTTTTTTACTTTTTTCTTTTATAGTGAATTCACTGCCCTTAAGTACTTTTGCTATGGTGCCTGAATTTTCACATAACATCTGCACAAATGTAGAGTTCGCTGTACTCATCAGTGGTTATGTTTTGGATTTTGTTTCCCACCTTTTCCATTTTTTCCTTTTAGCACATATTCAAATGTATCTGAGGCCAAAAACACTGCCTCCAAAACATATATATAAAATATATATTTAAGATAGATAGATAGATAGATAGATAGATAGATAGATAGATAGATAGATAGATAGATAGATAGATAGATAGATAGATAGATAGATAGATAGATAGATAG